TATCTTTGACATTTTTATCTTGCCTCTGCTTCATGTGTTTAGGGGGGGGAAAAGTCTCAAGTCTCAGGGTTCACTCTTCTTAATGAAAGTGAAGGTCCTTAGGTACCTAAGAAAAAGAAAGCCAGTAGCAATGCAAATAGAATAAGATTATGAAATATTTAATTTTTAAGGTTCTATTGTTTGGAAAAATTCAAACTGTTTTTCCTATTTTCTCATACAACACAACAATCATCAACATTGAAGACAACTTCTGTGATCAAATGTTAGGAGGTATTTTCCCCACCACCAAGTGAGCAATCAATTCAACATCAGACACCAACTGGGTGTCCTCAATTCAATTAAATTCTGATGTTGTCTTCCTGGAGATAGCCTCATATTCCACAGGTTGGGGGCTCAGTACCCCAAACAGTCCCTCTCACTTCAGATACAATCATCCAGGCCTCTAGAACTTCTGACCAACTGGCTTCAAGTTGGGGTTCCCACAACCCCCCCTTTGGGTTCTATTAATTTTCTAGAGCAGCTCATAGAACTAAGGGAAGCACATTTCCCAGTTTATTATAAAAGATATTACAAATGATACGTATGAAGAGATACACAAAGCAAGATACAGGGGAAGGGGTACAGAGCTTCAGTGTCCTCCATGGGCACGCTACACTGCAGAAACCACTATGTGCTCAGCTACCTGGAAGTTCTCCAAACCCTGTCCTCTTGAGTACTTATGGAGACTTCATTATGTATGCATTATTGATTAAACCATTGGCCATTGGTGATCAACTTGACCTTCACCCCATCTCCCTTCCCTGGAGGTTGGGGGTGGGGCTGAAAGTACCAACCCTCTAATCATGTGTTTGTCTTTCTGGTGACCAGACCCAATCCTGAATCTATCTGTCCACATTAGCAGACAAAAAGATAGCACCTTGGAGATGCCAAGGATTTTAGGAGTTGTATGTCATAAAACAAGATAGAAAACAGGGATGGGCAAAGAGCAAATATATATTTCACAATATCAATATATATTCTGATATTTCTTTCATAGGAAAGGCTTGGTATCAGAATCTATAAAATATAATATTTAGAACCATATACATATTTATGTTCCCAAACAATAATTCTGTGGAAACAATAATTCCACAGTGGGTCAGTTTATATAATAACAAGAATCTCCACCAACATTTATAGAGTACCTATTGTGTACTGGGCACTATTTCAGGATTTCTACTTGTATACATCTCACCTAATCCTCATAATGACTCTTTAAAGAGAGATCATTTCTACTATTTTGAAAATGAAGAGTGAGCCTCAAAGCAATTAAGCAACCTTTCAAGGTCACATATCTAAATTACAGAGCAAGTATTGACTTAAAATATACAGTTCCAAAACTTATCAAGTGATGTACATATCAGGCTGATCTTCAAAGTAACCCCATTGGTGAAGAATGAAGATCTCAGGATTGTTCAAGCCAGCCTGGGTTATATGTAGCATTTTCCAGTAGGGTCACTTACATGGTTGCCCAAACAATGAGCATGCAGTATCATTAGCATGTATAAACCAATGTGTTACAGAAAAATCAGAGTAAGTGAATGGCATCACACCACTGTCAATTCTTCCTCCATGATGAAATGTTTTTCAGCTTTTGTTGAAAATAAACAGAAGCAATAAAAATATATGAAAGGATTTTTTAATATTATGAAATTGTTGTCTAATACATGAGCCATTATACCTTTCAATGCATACTCATGCAATCAATTCCTCCTACCTGGGGAAAAAGTTTTAACCCTAAACAACTATTAATGTGTTCTTTAAGAAGACTATGTTGCAGAACCTGCTTCTGTTTGCCTTGGTTGCCTGGAAGCTAAGAACTAAGATCCTTTTCTTAACTATAACAGTTTCTTCAGTTTAGGTTTTTAGTATGATATTTTCTTCCTATGATATTTTCCTCCTAATTTTGAGGTTATACCGAATGGATGGGACATTCATTCATTTTCACTCAGCTTCCCTTCCAGTCCACTGGTTTAAAAATACTGTTGCTGGGAGTATACTACCTTAAATTCTGATTTATTGATTTGAGGTGAATTCCAAGAGTTATAATTTTTAAATACATCCAGATGAGTCTAATGTTTAGCCAGGGCCTAGAAGTATTAACACAGCCCTCTCAGATCAAGAGTTAAACAGAGTGTGCTAGGATTACTGTAGGAATAGTTTCAGCTAGGACAAAACTGCCAAACCCCACTGTGTTGCTAACCATCTTGTTTCAGGGATTACTAAAACAAACTATTCCAGCAGATTCTAAATACCAGTCTACACACCACCACTCTTTTATATAAAGGGGCTAGATATCTGGCTACAGAGGAAGAGAAGACATTCAACTCATTCCCTCAGGAAGGGGCAGAAGAGAGGCTCTTGCACAGTTTTCTACAACTGTGTAGGAAGTGGTAGCATTTTTCATGATTTGCTATGTCATTTGCTGAGTGCCCGGAGAAGGGAACCACACAGGTAAAAGTAAGGAGAGCTAAAAGCAGGTGTGGCTAGGATTTATGTCTCTCTTCAATCAAGAGGAAGTTGCATGGGTGCTCAACAGTTTATGAAGACTCTGGTAGTAATAATGGGCCTCACCTTTGGTAACAAAATAACTGACTACAGAACTGTGCACAGTGAAACTGAGGAGAACACCCAGAGGATTATAGCCAAGAGAGTCAGAACCATGGACTCTGGTCGTCACTCAGGGAACCAATGACCAGTTTCACACCAAGTGCATCAGTGACCAACTGGGGGTGAATAGCAAACACCTACCACTGATTTGTAACCGCATGTATGTAGATATCCCAGTCACCCATCCATTCCAACACACATGGGCCATGCCATAGGTCTAGGGCAGGTATGGGAAAGCAAGCCCAGGAGGAAGAGATCTCTGCCTCCAAGAAACCCCTCCTTATATCCATCTAGACTGTGTTGAAGTTGAGACTGATATTATAAATTGGGAAGTGATTGAGATTTGGCTTACTCACAAGATTGGACTGATATTTAAACCAGAAGGGAGCAAAACAGAAGCTGTCTTCTTAAGGAAGATTAGGTAATTCAAGGCCAAGAACAGTCCTTGGAGAGTTTCAAATAAGAAAACTTCACATTTGTTTATATCTAAGTAATGACTATTAGACCAAACGTTTCCATAACTGTAACATTCTCCTTTTCCACTTGTGCTTCAAAATTTGGGGTTCTTTTCTTATTGTTCATGTTTAGCAGTTTGAGTTCTTGTTAACCTTTTTGAAAGCAAGTTCAAATGGTATCTATTTTTATCAGCAATGATTGATATGATGTATGACCAACAAGCATCTACTGAATATAGTTCATTTACTATAAAGTTATGCTATTCTGTTATAACTTGGGATCTTAACATATAATAAGACACTATATTTGTCTTTGAAGTTCTATGAGTTATTGTAACCTTAGTAGTGGTTAAAAGCTCACTCCCTAAATTTAGACATATCTGTGTACAAATATAGGTCCTACATCAAACTAGCTGTGTGATTTTGGGTAAAATATTTAACCCAAGATTTAGTTTTTTCATATGCAATCAGAAAACTGAGAAACACCTAATCAGGCTATTGTAAAAATCATACATAATAATGAATATGAGAAATCTAGCACTCTGGACAGTGATATGTGCTCAATAAAATCAACTGTGAGTTACTATTATTCTTGCTATTGAGACAGTAATGGTCTAAAACAGGAGAAAAGAGGTTATAAAAAATCTGTATGTGCCAAAAAAATTGAGAATATAAAATCTAAAACATAAGTAGAAGATCTGGGGAAGGAACAACAGACAGATACGTCTGACATTACCACAAACATGGAGGCTAAAAGAAATTTATTTACTCACAGTTCTGGAGACAAAAATCCAAAATTAAGATGGCAGCAGGGAAATGCTACCATAGAAGTTCTACGGGAGAATCCTTCCTTGGTTCTCTAAGCCATGTATGTTTGTGGGTCATCTACTATCTCTCCATCTCTGTTCCTAGGCTAGGATTTATGTCTCTCTTCCTAGTCTGTAAACTGGGAAATAAAGACTATTGTTAGGATTAAATGCCATGATAGTTACATAGTGGCTAGCAAGGTGCTTAGCACATAGTACGTGGTGTTCAGAGCATGATAGCTCCAATCATTACCTGTCAGAAAAGATCTCTTGCCCCCAAATTTAGGAGGAATAATCTATAAAGTATCTGAATTAAAATGCAAATGTGAAGTCTTAATTATTTAAATGTTTAGTGGAAGTCAATTATATTTCCATTAAAATGCAAATGCACATCTGAATTCAAGCAGGAGTACATTACAAAGAGGAATGGACTGCAGAGTCCAGGCAGGGGAGCAGTGGGATCCTGGTGACCAGAGGACAGGAATGAGGATAAAGAGTGGGGTGAGTGCTTACTTAGTCAGTGTGCTTTTTGATGAAGAAAAACAAAGCTTGGTAGCCAAAGCTATCAAGGATGTGCTCCAACAGCCTGGAAAGAGGAGAATTTGATGGCGGCTAGAGAGGCAGAGAGAAGTTAGTCATTCTACAGGGAATTAGCTCTTCTGAGAATACTAGAAGATGTTGACTGGCTTGAAGGGGAAGATAAGAAGTCAGCCTGTTGTCACTATAATCCAGAGGAATAAGCTGAAATTGTAAACAAGAAAGTCTAAATGCCTCAGAGAAAGAAATCAGGTTGAAGATAATGCTCCATATGAGTTTCTTAGGGCTATTAACAAATTACTGTTAGGTAGAGACAGTGAGGGATTTCGGGTCTCCTTGGGACGAAAGTGAGAGCTGTTGCCCCCATCGGGGTCCATCGGGGTCCTGGTCACCCCTAATTCTCCATACCTGGGGGAGGAGGAAACACCCTATGAATCTGCCAATCAGAACTTGGCACCCCAGCTGCACAATAATGCAGAGGACTCTCTAGCCCACAGGCCAAGTCATATGGGTACCATAAAGTCTGGAAAGTGACCTAGAACCCACATGCATAGTTAAGGCTCAGGTCATGTGACCCCCATTAGGCACATCCTAATTAAAGTGGTTCCATGGTGACTTCTGAACCACAAGGGAGGTCCCTATCCAGACACTATAAAATAGGATGCAGACCATAGCCAACCTCTCTCTTTGCCCTTCCATTTGCTTGCCCTGGTGCAACAATGGGCCTGGTCATCATTCATGGCAATATGTACCATGCTCTGTAAACCTATATCTTGCTCTTGCCCTATAATCCTATCTTTCTCTCCTCAATAAACCTTTTTTTCACGCTTGCCGAACTTTGGCATGTCTGGTCATTCTTCAGCCATGGGCATGCCAAGAACCCCTTGGTTCAGGTCAGACTGAAATCTGACATTACCACAAACATGGAGGCTAAAAGAAATTTATTTACTCACAGTTCTGGAGACAAAAATCCAAAATTAAGATGTCAGCAGGGAAATGCTACCATAGAAGTTCTACGGGAGAATCCTTCCTTGCCTCTTCCAGCTTCTGATAGATGTTGGCATTCCTTGGCTCGTGACCACATCACTCCAATCTCTGCCTCTGTCTTCACATCACCTTCTCCTCCATGTGTGTCTCTTTTGTCTCTTATAAAGACCCTTGGCATTTGACCTGGGAAATCCAGGGTAATATCTCAAGATTCTTTACTTAATTACATCTGCAAAGATTTTTTTACCAATAAGGCAATGTTCACTGGTTCAAGAGATTTACATGTGTTGGGGGGGGGGCAGAATTCAAACCAGTACAGTCAGCCTCCTTGCCCCCAAAGATTTACATCAGTCCCATGTGCAAAACACATTCAGCCCCTCTTAACATCCCCCCAAGTGTCATCCCATTACATCAACTGTAAGTACAAAAGAAAGCCCATCTGAATGTCATGAGCTCGAAAGTCCCAAATCTTATGATCTATATCAGTTATGGATGAAACTCTATGTATGAGTCATCCTGAGGCAAAATTACTCTCCCTCTGTGGACTTGCATAAGTAAAAACCAAGTTTCCTGCTCTCAAAAAAAAAAAAAAAAGAAAGAAAAACAAAAACAGGGGGAAAGATATAGGATAACAGTTATAGACATTCCCATTCCAAAATGGATAAATCAGAAGGATTTGCAAAATTGGGGTCACCCATTCCTAGAAAGTTTAAAATACAGCAGGAAAAATATCATTATGTTTCAAGGCCTAAGAATAATCCTCTGTGACTCTAGGCGGCTTCACTGGTTGGGCCTATAGTTCTGCCCTCCAGGGCTACATCTATTCAATAGGCCTTTGGGCCTGTGGTTTACACCTCTACCTCTGGCCCTATGGCACCAGCTTCTGAGTCATAGCTCTGCCCTTCAAGTTGTTCTCCTTCCTTCTTGAAAGGTAGCACATGTTTGTGGGCAAGTAATTCTTTCAGCCCATTTCCTGTCTGAAGACTCCCACAAGTCTGACAGCCTTCCTTCATTTCATCCTATCTTTGTCTGTTTTAGTCCAGCCTGGCACTGTATCTGCTGATATAACATTCTCACAAACCTTGTGGATCTCCTCTGCATATCAATGGGATTCATGAGGGGCTCCTCCACAGACCTTCTCTGGAAAACCTCATCTCTATTCCTGGCTTCTACCAGGATGTTTCAGTGATTCCGTAAGTCAGACATCTAATCTCTTCAGTAAAAGTGGTCCAACCACACCCTTGTTTTCTCTCTAAAGCATGCTTGCCTAAAAGTAGCATCCTTTGCAAGTTGAATAAGCTGAAAATTTCCCAAATCACCAAGTGCTTGTTTCTTTTGCCTTAATGGTTCTTTCCTTAATTTATGTCTTTATTTTACTGTAATCACAAAGAAGAAACAAAGCAACACCTTTAAAACTTGGCTAAATATCCAGAGTCCATCATTTACAATTTCTGTTTTCCATACAACTGTAGAACACAATTCAGCCAAAATTTTCTTCCACTTATCTGACAATGATTATCTTTTCTCTGGCTTACAATAACATGTTCCTCATTTCCTTCTGAGTCTTTTCCAAAAACACTTTTGCACATGGCATGATATGTATTCTCTAAGATGATAGAAGCTTTCTTCAGCATATTCCTCACTTCCTTCTGAGCACTCACAATAATCTGGGCTTTCTCTATCTATCATGGGCCTCAAAATTCTCCCAGTCTATACCCACTATCCAATTCTAAAACCACATTTTTAAGCACTTGTTACAGTAGCACCCCACTTTTCTGCACCAAAATCTATACTAGTTTCCTATGGTTCCCACAATAAATTATCAAAAATTAGGGGTTTTTAAACCACAGAATTTTATTCTTTCACAGTTCTGGTAGCCAAAAGTCCAAAATCAAGACATAGGCAAAAGTACACTCCCCTCTGGAAGCTCTAAGGAAGAACTCTTCCTTGCCTCTTTCGATGTCTGATAATCCTTGGCTTCCTTGACTTGTGACCAAATCACTCCAATCTCTGCATCCATCTTCCCATTGCCTTCTCCTTTTCTTCTATCAAATCCCCCCATGAGTCTGTTATAAATATAATAATTGGAATATATCTATAAAAACCACAAACCTAAGGGTCAAGCTCTAGGGGAAAAAAAGAGGGAGATTTGTGAATGAATGGAAAATAAGAACAGCAAACATCTAGCTAAGATTGGCCAGCAATGAGCTACCTAGACACCTGACCATCAGAAAACAGCACTGTGCTTTATTCTAACAAATCTTCATTTGGTCACCACTGCTCCTGCAGACCACAGCAACATTCAGCTACGCATTTTAGCCAACACGTACGTCCAATATGTGGACATCAGGAAAGGGTCAGGGGTATGGGAAGAGGACCCCAAAGCAGAAGTGAGACTGAACTGAGGAAAGCCCCAGGGGGATATGTATAATGAGGCAGTGTTTCTCCCAGCCTCAAGTCTAGGACAGTGGCCAAAAATTAAAAGATATATAATAAATAAGTGGGCTAGCAATAGGAGATTTTTAAAGAGTTCAAGAAAGGGAACTCATTTGGGTTGATATGCTTTCCTCTTTTCATCGTGACATTTTCAGTTCCTGCCTTAGCAACTTTCAGAATTTGCTCTCAAAAGCTCTCTCAAACAGACTTGTGCCCACCACATATTACCTGCCCCATTAAAGCCCCTATCTCCTGGCAGATTGCTCTACCACTCAGCTTCTCAAGGTAGTACTTCTCCGAGTTTCTAAAATCAGAGTTTTGTGATTGTTACACTATATTCCATGCTTGCCTAACTAATGACATGCGTTCTTTACTGAAAGTTGGAGATTATTATTTTCTGAGATGGAAAAATAATAAGAGTTAATATAATTAATGCTTACATGACCTTGACTCTTATAAATAAATGTGTTTTTAAAGAAAAGAAATAGTTTTCTCCTGCATCCCTGGAATTTCAGTCTAGTGTGGGTTTTTATGGTCAATTTATAAAGCTACTGAAATAGAATTTACCGTGAAAGCAATAGAACACAACTCAATTAAGGGAACACAGTCATCTGCCTTAGTATGTAAAGGAAGTACATCAAAAGACAACTCTACAACAAGATGTAGAAGCAAGGTCACATCTTTCGAAGGCTAAATTAAGATAAATTTCAAAAGCTCTCTTCTTAACACCTTACTAAAGAAAATTACATTTCTTTCTACTATATTTACTAAAGTTGCTGTGCTTCCTGCCTTTAATGACCAACCTCCTTGACCAGGCTCTGCTGAATTCTCACAAAGATGAACTTCAATTATAAGCACAGCACAGTGCCCAGGTTGCATAAGCTAACTGCAAACAGCTCCCTCGGGTCCAATGCCTAGATGAGGAAGCCACCTCTCTATTTCAGTTCTGTTTTAGGACTGTCCTTGATTGAACTGACCAAAGAGTAATATTTTCTTTGACATTCTTTTTTTCATCATCTATGTTTTTTTTTTTTCAATGCACACAGAAAAAAGATTAAAAAGAACTGGGACTTCTAGTCCATCTGAATTACCCTGATCACATTAAGTGACCTTGGCTAATTGGTTTCTAATGTTTCTGCTGGCTTAGCACAAAACAGGTCAAATACCTCCTCTCTCTTTAGAGGCAATTCCACAGTACCTGAGCAAAGTACCTGGGTGTCCCAGTGGGTATTTCATTAGCAGAAAATTTAATAAGACTCATCATTTTTCAAAGATCATATGTGCAATACACTTTTGAGGTAGATGTCATTATAGACGTAGACTTAGATTCCAAAAAGCCACTGAGTACACTATCAGAAGACTTTATCAGAGTTCTTATCCTAAAAATGGGGGATTAAATAAACTAAGCCAATAGATATACCTATAGATTGTCAAATACTGGATATCAGTTTAAATCTAATGGATGAATTATTTCAAATATCTGCCAGCATTGCTTGTCTTTTCTAAACTGGTATTTCAGACCTATTTCCCTTATTTTACCCTATCATTCCATGTTACTAGCCTCTCTTTATCAAAACACAGCAGACCTCTTTATCAAAAGTTTACATTAATTTCTTCATACACCTGGTTTTTAAAGCCACTCAAGTAAAAATAATATAGAGCAAAAAGCTATCACCAATGCAAGACTAATAAATATATAAATGGTGAGGTGTAAATGACCCTTAGAAATACATTTTAAAATATCCATCTTTAGTAACTTAGTTATCATGACTAAATTTTCTACCAATCTGTAGCAGAGTAGATTTCTAATGTGTCCTGCTCTCAGCCTGACTTCTCACGTCAGCTCATGTCCCTCTGGTGCTGCGCCTTCTGAACACCCTAAACATCCAAAAGCCCAGTTTAAATGCTTTCAAAAAGTGTCCCTCTACTACAGAAAAGAAATTACAATGAACTACCCAGTTTTCCAAATACACTTATTTTAGTAGAATGTTCATTAAATTGATATGTTAAAGTTATGTCATTGTCTTACAAGATAAAACAGTTTCATTTTAATGAATAGGTATTCAAAAGTAAAGGATTGAACTTAGTAGGGAAAGAAGAGTGCCTTGGGCCCCTATCCTTTTATCATCCCTGTGCTCAAATATTTTGAGAATTTTGTTAGGTCACTGTAAGGTCTGTAGTTGCTTTTAGCTGAAATTTAAGGAAATTTTGAAATGGACAAAGTTGAGGAAACATGTAGGATCATCATTACTTGACGACAGGACAAAATACTTAGGACACCACCATAATGCTTAGCCTAACTCCCTAAAATACTTCCTGTGATATACATTGAATTAAAATGGGTACAGCATTTTCCTTAAAAAGCATGACTTTCCTGGAGTCAAAAATTACAGAATGTATTTTTTACAACTGTTCAAAAAGTAATCATTGTAATCCCAAGATAGAGCAATTTCCTTGACCTATCCAGAGAACATTGCAACATATTTATAATTCTGAATTGTTCTTGGTGATGACGCCCTGATGCAATAGTTAAGTCATGCTTCCAACACAATCCTACGCTAAATGCAATATTACTCAAACTCTAAGCTAAATTAGCTAGATTTCAATGACTCAGAAGGACACATCCTTCCAACTCATATTTAAGCATGGGACTCTGTGTTTAATCAATGTGTGAGCAACAGTGAAATTAGAAGTGGAACCCTGGACTCTAGGCCATGAATTTGTACTTTGAAAATCAACTGACAATA